AAAAAAAAAAACCAATAAAAACCACACCCTTAATCCTCACCTACAGGCTACAAGTCTTAATCCAAATACGGTCTCGTTACGAAATCATTTCGTCTGGGTTTTAGATCAATTATCTTTCGGGCAATGCTACATGTACAATTGTAGTTTACAACATTGGTTGACAACTTAGTTAAAAGTATCATTAATTAAAATTTTAATCATACATTTAATTGCATCTCAACCACCCACATTATGCCACATCATGTTGTCATTGAATGTTGTACAAAAAAAGTTATACAAGTAGCTTTATCCTTATCTTTATTACATAATGATCTAACAGTTACAAACTTTGACGAAATGATTCCGTAATAGATCCGTTGTATCTCTCACACATAATAATGTCAGCGTTAAAAGTAAGGTAAAAAGATTGTGATCTTTCTCTTTGAATTATTGGATAGTATGGTAGATAGGAAGCCAACGGCTCCTTTGAAATAAAATAAACACAAGTCGCTAACACAAAGCTTTGCCGTCTCCGTTTCCAAAGCTTGGGACTTTGTTGCTATTTTGACCCTTCGTTGCTGTTCAAGTTTCGAACTTTACCCACAAAACAGTATCCTAAGCTACAACAACAATTTGTTCTCTTGTTTTACCCTTTCAGATTACAGTCCGAAAGGGACCAGAAGAAAATTAGCAGTAAAAGCTGGGCAAGAAAGAAGAAAACAAAAGGGCATAAAATCCGACCTACTCGCACCGCGCTCACCTGAATCTTGTTATTTTATTTCTCTCCCTGGCCCGCTCTTGCTTATCCATTTTCCCCCCATCATGTTCTGATTTTGATCTATTGGCTGTTTTTTCTGTAATCTTGGTGATTGTTTTTACTTGGGCCAAGAAGTTGAAGGGAGTAAAGGTGAGATTTTTTTGAAGGGTTTAAGGTTAAATGGGTATCTGTCATTCATCGACCAACGAGAAGAGAAAGATGGGGTGGGAAAGCGGCAGGGACGATTTAGATTCCAAGCTGAAAA